TTACTTCAAACTGTTTTACAAACTCTTTTACATATCAAATACTTTTATTAAACTCTTTTAACTTATATTATGTGTATCTATATGGATATAATTATATAAGTAGGATTGAAAGGACTTAGGACTGATAGCTCACCTTACTTCCTGTTCCTTGTTTGGTTGTGGACTTAGGGTATTCGGGTTATTTGTCCGAAGGTCGTTTGAATCCTAGTTATATATCATGTATATGTGTATAGATATAAAAGGTTACTTCTTTCATTCAGTTCAATGCCTTTGGGTAGCAATGTATACAAACATGTTCATATACACAAACAACATTACTAGTAAACTATAATAGGTATAGTTTAGGAAGATACTATTACTAGAACAATGAAACATACAATGAGTCACTTCATTCATGAGTAATACATAGTGATAAGAAATAAACATAATACATAGTGATGAGAAACAAACATAATACATAGTGATGAGAAACAAACATAATATATAGTGATGAGAAACAAACATAATACATAGTGATGAGAAACAAACATAATACATAGTGATGAGAAACAAACATAATACATAGTGATGAGAAACAAACATAATACACAGTGATGAGAAACAAAACATACAGGCTAGACAGAGAAAGAACACACAATACAACTAGCACATACATATACATATACATATACATTACTTACAGTTATGTGAGCCACTTAACGGGAGCATGGCACTACCTGTCATGACCCGTTTTGTATCCAGAATCTCCTTAAATGGAGAGCGTATGAGTTTGTGTATAGATCTATACTGGATTGACTATCCTACACCTTGCTGCTCGCTACAGTGGGACTTGCAAGTCTACGGGTGCCAAACGTCATTTCTTATGACGTCTTACATCGTCGTTTTTCTATAGAGTCGGTAGCAGGATACAAGCCGGTCACATGGTACTTTAAATAACAAATTGGTTTAAAGTAATTAGTACAGCAGTAGTTACTTAATACAACACTACAGTACTATTTCATTTTCCCTTTACATTTACTTTGTGATATTCACACAATAAACAATAATGAAGAAAACTATATTTTTGGTTAATGATAGTCAGATTTGGGAAAATACACACTCTTACCAGAGACACACACACAGATACTAGATGCCTTGGTAGAAGGCTACTTTTAGTAGGAAACATAGGGTTTTCTAGGAGAGTTCAAACAATTACAAACTTTTACAAAACTTATACATTACAAGACTTACAAACACTTTCATAACAAATACAGACACTAATATACTTATGATCTCACCAGCTTTAAAGCTGATAAACTCTTTCAAAATAACTTGTATTCTCAGGTCGCCAGTAGACAGGTACCGGAGCTAGGTTTTTGAGAAGATGGAGCTCGTTCAAGACTCATCTTTTATTTTGATGTATATTTTTGGTGTCTATAAAACTTGACAGAACACACTTGTATGAAATTATATTATTAATGCAATGGATGATGTTGTTGCTTGTTTACTACTTTGCATTGTTGTGATACTGAACATGACGTCCTCCACCCCCGAACGTTTCCGCCGTTCCGGTTTTAGGGTGTGACACGCAACGCATCACATAACAAATATCCATAAAAATATCTCTTTTTGGGACATCGACACATGATGCTGCTAACTGAATGAGATCACCCACATTTTGAAATGAGGTTCCGCCAATACCACACCAGGTAAAGATATGTTCATCAATCTTGACAACAAACGGACATGTCTCACGGATGTGATCAGCACATTCCTTATTTCCAATTCAAGAACTACATAAGGATGAGTCTACATTGATTCCTTGTTGTTGCAATACATTTACATATGGGATACGCCCAAGACTAGCTCTCCATATGAAACAAGTAACTTTTATTGGGATCTTTTGATTCCTTACAACCATGCATTGCATTAAATTCTTTACGTGTATGTTGGCAATTCTCCTCTTTAACAAGGCAACTATTAATCTTCCTTTTGCATCTAACGGGAAAGTCCATGTGTCTACCCTAGGTCGAGTTATGATGTGTGCTTTAGCTCTATTTAGCCGGTCCAAATCTAAGCATAACACGAGATCAACAAGACTAGATTTCTATTGCCAAGAGGATCCACCGACTATAGTTCTCTCAACCACTTTGCAACTTTTATTCTTATCTAATGCATATAATAATGGGAATATTGTCTTTAAGGTATCCGTTCCGAGTCACACATCATTCTATAATTGTGTTTTGTCCCCTGAGTTTATATTTTTCCTACATACACTATGAAAACTCAATCCAAAAGAGTTAATATCTTTTTTGGTGCTAGTAATATTCTTCCATACTCCTGTTATACTCTTTTTTGATAGATAGCCAGCCGTCATGAAAAGCAGTTGAGTTCATCTCCTAAACTGATTCCGGTTTTTTGTGAAGATCCACCAAGCAAAGTGACCAGAACCTTGAGGATGGAGCTCGGTGATTCCTTCCTTGGGTGATTTGCCAACATACTGAATGAAATCATCCTAAAAGATAGTTCCATAATCAACATCATCTTCGGTGAAGATGCTCCAAACAATATCCATTAGTTGTTTCGGCATGTTTTATGTTCCACCATTTCTTCCTGATAAGCATTGAATCACATAGTGACATACGCACTGCCACACAGTTGGATGTTTCCACTTTTTGAATTCAGCAATTGCTTTGAGTTTTGCTTGATAACCTATCTTGTAAAGAGCTTTGAAGATGTTAGAATTGCTAGGATTTTTGAAAGTGGTTGAAGGAGGAATTCTGAGGTTGATGGCTTCAAGAAATTCAGGTTTCCTGAGGATCGCTATTGATTCATCTACGAGTTTGAGATGAACTTCATCGAGTTTATCCAAAGGTCTAAATGTAGAAAAAGCACAGTTAAAGTCCACAGATTGGGGAAGAACTTCAATGAAAGCATCAAAATGTCCAAACAATGGGTGTTTCGGCAAGAATCGAATCGTCAGCTTGATTGTCGCATCATAAAGTTCATGATCTTTGAAGATTGCTTGATAGTTGCTTGCTGTAATCGTGGGACTTGTGTTCTTGGCAGGTGAGGTTGAACCGGTTGGTTTTGATTGTTTCTTTGAGACTCCAGATTTTACCATGGTTGATTCGAAATACTTAGTTGAATCGTAACAATGTTTGCATTCAAACACAAGTTAGTAATTGATGAACAACATAAGTAAAAGATTATGAAGATAATGAAGTCTTGTATTCAATAAAGAGTAATACAGTGAAAGTCTGAGAAGTGGTGCTTAGATCGATCAACATGGTCATCTATATATAGCAGAACGAGTTACATGATAAATAATAAAATACTCCAAAGTAAGGTGGTCATGTTTGCCACACTTGAACTGACATATCTCATCTAATACATAATGTCAAAAAGGTGAACATTACTTTTCTAACATTTCGACGTACATAAGACAAAAAGAATCTACTCTTCGTGTCAACCCCCTTCACTCCGGCAAATCAAGTCTTCAGTGTGATCATCTAAGTCTTCGCAATTGATCTTCAACAAAACCTTCTACCGCAGCAAACAAAACATGTTTTCGGTACTTCAATACATTTCTTAGCTGCCGAGGGCCACTTCATGTTTCAACACGTTTGGTTTTCATTTATAGTTTTTTTTTTCAAACGGGTAGTCACTTCAAAGGTTGAATGTTCTCGGATTCAAACCTTAGGTTGGATGGTGTTTTCCCCATAATCCCTCAATTTTATTCTGCCACTTGTGACGATATTATTTTCGTACACTCTTCCTTCATTCCGTTTAACATAAGAAATGATCACCTTTTATTTTCTTTTATTTTTTCCCTTTTTTTAAATAACAATATTATAATATAATTTAAGAAATAAGTGCAGTTAATAAAAAAATATCTTAATAAATATGAAATTAATGAAATTAATAAAAATGGGAATATTTCACTACATCAAAATAAAAGGTACAAAATTCAATAAAAATCAAACTAAAACATAAGAATAATTAAAATACCATATCACATCAAAGCACCGTCCGAACCGTCACCGGAGTTGTCGCCCAAATCCTTGTTGTAAGTAAGAATTAATAATTAAGAAACTAGTAAGTTGTATTGGAATTTAGGCTAAAGGGAGTGGAGGTGTTAAGGGAGATGTCAAAGGAAATGCTAAAGATATTATACCACTCCCTGCCTTATGCTAAAGAAGGTGCTAAGAAAGGGGTGATATGTGTGTGGCGAGAAGAGAAAGGAGAGAGAAAGTATAAATGTGTATTGTGATTGGCTAATTTGTATTTATTTATACATTTGAATTTTTTTTCTTCAAAATTAAACCTATTAAATTGTCACATTTCCACTCCCTACCTTTTTTATGCAAAACATGCTAAGTCTATGTGTCATAAAAAAATAAAAAATTCTATGTGTCAACATGCCAAAAGTGTTACCACTCTTTTTAGCCTTTGAAATCAGTTTGGTTTATTGGAAAACAACTTATTTCTTTTTGTTGTGAAGTATAGTAATTTGGCTGTAATTGCATTTGTAATGTATATTATTGAATATGGATTGGGATATTTTCTGAATATAAAATGTATGCATACGAGTGAAACTTTAAATTATATTGGAATAATTTTAGAACAATTAAAGCTTATTTCAGAAATAAAATTCATAAAAAGCTACAATGAAAATGGTAAATAGCGTTTACAGTAAAAAATTTCGAAATATTTCTGGAATTAAGAAACACCTGTCAAGAATGAGACCGGTGCCACGAAGGAAATATGTAAAGTTAAAAAAAGAAGAAAAAGAGGTCCATTAAGAAAATTGTATTTGTCATTGACTTGATTATTAGTTAAAAAAATCTAATTTTAAAATGGAAAGTCATGTACCCATCTCAAATCATATTCTTTAATTAATTTTTATTTCCATAATATTTAATGACACAAGTTAAATGTGGATCCGAGGTGGTTGTCACATCATTTCTCATTAAAGCATTTAACTTTGTTTTCCCACAAAAAAATAAATTCACCGAACAATGGAAAGTCCGCCCTACAAGCCACATGTACGTATGAGATTAACGGTTTAAACTTCAAATATAACATAAAACATGTACCAAAAAGATATAATGAAATTTCGAACCCAATTTTTAAAGAATATACATAATTACATACCACTCGTATACTTTTTCCATCTTCGTATACTAATAAAATAATACTCTTTCCGTCCCAAAATTATAGTTCATCTTTTCTTTTTGGTTTAACCCAAAATAATAGCCTACTTCTAAAAATAAATAACATTTTTACCAAAATATTCATCATTATTAATTAACCAACTAAACATTTTATGGAACATTAAATGCAAAGTAATGACAAAACTGTCATTTTATTGTATAAAATTAGTGGTAATTAATACTTCCATAATCTGTGTGTTTTTTGTTTGTGGACAATAATTTTGGGACGGGAGACGTAATTATTAGTGTCACTTGTAATTTTTTTATAATTTATATTTTCTTTTCAAATATTCTATAAAAATGACATTTGTTATTTTCTCATCATTTTTTATTTTGAAAAAGTATTGATATTGATAATAAGTTGGACAATTATTTATTTGATTTTTGATTTTTAGGAGAAAGTTAAATTCATTTTGAATAAGTTTCAATTATGATTGCCGATAATTAGTTGTATTTCTATATTGAAAATCCTACAAAATCATATTTAATTAATAATTCATTGAAAAATAATTGATTAATAATTATGATTTTATTATAAAATTTTAATTATTTTTATAACCATGGTTTACAGACTATAATCAAGTTTAATTTATAAATTAATAAATTTTCGGATGAACCACATTTTAAACACGCCATCCATTGACGTTATGTGTCTAAGTATGAACATATATCCCCACCCACATTAAAAAGACTAATATCTAACATTTGTTCAAAAGTTGAAAGTAGCTACGAAGGAGGATTTCTTCAAGTTTTTGCCGGAAGGATTCGTAGCTGAAGCATTGGCACTCACCAGCGCTCGAGATGTTTCCCGGTTGTCCTCCGTCAATTCCGTTTTCCGTTTCGCGATACAGTGGGACAGCGTTTGGGAGAGTTTCACACAGCTGGAAATGGCGGACGGTGGTTCAGTCGCATCAAAGAATGAGATTTATATGCGTCTCTGTGATCATCCAGTCGTCATAGACGAAGGAAACAAAGTAAACTTCTGAATAACTTTCCTATTTCATTTCATTTGACTCCGGTTAATGTCATATTCTTCTACCAATCTTCATAAACACGAAAAATGATCAAAACAAATTGATTTTTAGATCTCGAAATGCGAAACAAGTTTTGAATTGTATCGATCTGATTCTCTTAATCTAATTTCAACAGAGTTTTTGGTTGGATAAAAGTAGCGGGAAGAAATGTTACATGTTAGCTGCGAGACAGTTATCAATCGCTTTTTCTGATTCCCCAAATTGTTGGATATGGACGCCAACAACAGAATCAAGGTAATATTAGGCTACTCGCTCATAGTTATCAACACCTCAAAAATACTTCCTCTCTTTTAACTCCTCGAATCTCGAATTACAGATTCACATAGGTAGCAGATCTTATCAGTGTGAGTTTGCTTGGAATCATCGGAAAAATCAATACTTCAATCTTCTCCCCTGATACAACCTACGTTGCTATTCTTGTGTGCAAAACAACACTGAAAGCTTATGGGTTTGAGTACAAACCGGTGGAGGTCTGTATTGGTTTTCACGGCGACCGAAGTCAAACCCTTTGCCGTCTTCGGCAACTTGGTGATGAAATCCATCGAAATTTGCCCTCGTTTCTACATGGGAACCTCCAGAGGCTGTAGATTGTCATGCAGCCTCTGATGCTCGTCCTTGACCATCCTGCAGTTCATGCACCTCTCCACATACCAAGCGATCTCTCTCTTCATACACGACCACCAATAGCTCAATCTCAGATCCCGATACATCTTGGTGGCCCTCGGATGGATAAAAAATCGAGACTTATGAGCCTCCTCCAACACAATCTGTCTGACCCCACTAGATATAGGAACCCATACCCGACCACAACGGGTCAACAATACATGGCTATCCGGAACAAATCTGGTGATCTCACCCCTGATCCTCTTTATCTTCCAGTTCTCTTCCCGGACACCCTCGGCCTGAGCCTCCCTAATCAATCTCAAGAGCTTATTGAAAATATGGCTTAATGAGTGAGTACGTTGGGCGTATAAGCTCGTATGCGCAACGTACAAGCCATGCAGCTATACGCTTAGCGTACAGTTGAGTACGCCCCATGTACTCAATGAATTGGGCTTTGCGTCTTTTGGGCCTCGTTTAGGCTACTTCCATGGACATTGTTCTTTTGGGCCTTAGTGGGTCATCTGAAATCGAACCTTTGGGTTAGGGGAGCATTATTGGGCCTTGGGCTAAGCCCAATGTGAAAGGATTGGGCCCAATTGGAAATTGGGCCATATTTTGGGCCTTGATGGGTTGTTTAACTTATGGGCCCATTGGACTGTGGTTAAGGGCTTCATTCTTGGACCAAGTTATGTTGGGGGTAAAATAGTGTAACGACATAAATTTTCAAACAAAATTTTCATTTTCAAAACACAATAAAACTCATTTTCCAATCTCAAAATCACAAGTGTCTAAAATGTCAACAATCCACAATGTAAATCACAATCCTAGAATCATAACATTGTCTCTCGCCAGTGTGTACAATCATGCCGGTGCCTTCCCGCGATCCTCGGAACTACCTGAAACACATAACACATAACACGGTAAGCACAAAGCTTAGTGAGTTCCCCAAAATACCACACACAGCTCGTTAGCCACTCGAGGCTCAAACTCAATAAGACCCTCCGGTCAATGTGTCCCAATTGGGCCCTCCGGTCCCACAACTCAGTTGGACCCACTGGTCCCTCAACTCCGCATCTCAGTACAATACACATTATGCATATATCAAACAAATAGCAGGATATCTCAATACACAGATAAGCACATAAGACATCTCGGTCACACGAAAATACCACTCATGGTAAAGTATAAGGAGAAGACTCACCTCGTAAGCTAGCAAGTGAAAATATCGTATTCGGAAATCTCGAACTCTAACCACCGGTCTAGCCCCCGCCTAACACATATAATAATTATCCCTAATTAATAATGGCCCTCAAGAAGCTAGACTAACCCTTCTACAAACTCATAGAAGGGTAAAAGACTATTTTACCCCTCCATAGGCTTAATAAAAGTCAACAAAAGTCAACGGCAGGGAGTACGCTGCACGTACTCCATCTCTACGCTGGGCGTACTCGGCTGCCAAGCAGGCATCGGGGAAGAGCGACCCTACGCTGCGCGTACTGGAAGTTACGCCCGGCGTACTCTCCAGTTTCTTCTTTCTCACTCATTTGGTCTTAAACAGTTAAGACCTTGGCTCATATTGTAGATCCAGACTCTCTAATAGCTATTAACCCATAAAGTCAGTGACTTTAATCCTTTGCATGGCTGAAATGGTCACCAACCCTCAAAATATACACTCTTTTGTCTCAAGGAGCTCATAACTCATGCATGGAGTGATTCCAACGTCCAAGATTGGATTTTTATGACATTACACCACTCATATGACCAAAAGGGGGAGGTCCTAGTCTCTAGAGTTCAAAAGAGAGGTAAAGTTTAAAGCTTTATACCTCTATAAGAAGCTCCCAACTCGGATATGTTCGGATCTAGAAGCTTGAATTCCCACTCCTTCTTCTTCAAGGCTTTCTCTTCTCTTCAAGAACACACAAGAACTCTCAAAGGCTCATAAATACACTCACAAGCTCCAAAACGAGGATTAGGGCACACTTAGGGTTTGTTGCCTGAGAATGGTGGCCAGAAATAAGGCCATCATATCCTTTAAATAGGGGACTAACCCTAGATTAGGGTTTTCATTCTGGGCCTAGTACGCCCAGCGTACTAGGTGGTCTCTGCGTCACTTGCACACTGACGAGTATGCTAAGCGTACACCTCAGGTATGCCTCGCGTACTCGTTTTTCACCCTTTTCATAATAAGGGCCAAAATAGATAATAGCTTAGAAGATTAAGGTTCACAAGGTATACCTAGACTCGGGATGTTACAAATAGTCTTTTTACCCCAAGTAGGGATTTTTGGTTATGATATAGATCCTAAGGCACATAAGGTTGAACATCAAAGTTAAACTATTGCATGCATAAAATACTCCTATAGTATTCTAAATGTTATGTTTGATTCTAAGGTTTATAAATTTGGTAAGTTTTAGACTTGTTGTCCACGTCGTGAGTTTGTCCCGATTCGCTCATGGCATGCTTCATCGTCAAGTGGCTCTGAAATGGTCAGTCAGACTGTTCACGTCGTGAACTTTAGTGTTCACGTCGTGAACTCTGAAAATTCTGACACAGCATCGAAACTCGTGCCTCGAACTTCATAAATTCATATGTTTCGCGCACGAGCTCCGTTTTCGACGTTCTTTATATCCACGCGTAGGTGAGATTATGATCTACAACTCTCGTTTAGACTTCGTCGGCTAATTTTCAATTTATTTTTAATATTATATTTTTAACAGGCCGGGACAGGAAAAGTCCGTTAAAATTCCATAACTTCTTCATCCGATGTCCGTTTTCGTCAGACTTTTTACCGTTGTAATACCATTGATGAGATCTTCGATTCTCGTTTAGGTCATGTTGGCAAAAAGTCACCCGATCTCTATTTCGAGTTTTTAGCTGTCTAATGCTATGTCCGAAACTTCAAAAAATCATAACTTCCTCATATGAAGTCAGATTAGGGCGTTCTTTTTATGTATGTTTACGGTTTTGGGATATATATGAATTTCATTTAGACACCTAAGGTTGAAAAGTATTTTATTGAAATTTCTCGTTTTATGCTTAACAGTGTTTTACCGATACCGTCGCGTATCTTCGATCGGTCATAACTTCTTCATTATAACTCGGATTTTTGTGTTCTTTATATTTTTGGAAACCTTGTTACGATATCTACCACTTAGTATACTCAAACTGAGCATTTCGAACATTTCATTTTTGACGTTATTCCTATTATATTAAGATAGGTTACCAAACTCGACTTTGGATCGTTACATTGATTCGAAATATCGGGTTGTTACATCATCCCCCCGTTAGAGGGAATTTCGTCCCGAAATTATTTACAAGGTAAGTGTCTATGGACTAGGGAAGAGATGCGGGTACTTTGTTGCATCTGATCTTCTCGCTCCGAAGTGAATTCAGGTCCCCGCTTAGCATTCCAGCGAACCTTCACTATTGGTATGCGACTTTGCTTTGTTCGTTTGATTTCCCTATCCATGATTTCGACAGGTTCTTCCACAAAGTTAAGATTTTCGTTCAATTCGATTTCCTCGAGTGGAATTACAAGGGTTTCATCAGATAGATACTTCTTTACATTAGACATGTGAAACACAGGATATACGTTGTTAAGTTCGAGTGGTAGTTGGAGTCTATAAGCTACTGGACCAATCCTCGTAGTAACTTCGAAGGATCCAATGTAACTTGGGTTTAGTTTTTCACGCTTCCCAAAGCGTATCATGCCCTTCCAGGGTGAGACCTTCAGTAAGGCGCGGTCACCAACCTGAAATTCCAAGGGTTTTCGTCTTTTGTCGGCGTAGCTCTTTTGTCTATCTCTTGAGGCTTTCAGTTGTCCACGGATTTGGACAATCTTTTCAGTTGTCTCTCTAATGATTTCTGAGCTAGTGAGAGTGCTATCAGGGACTAGGCCTCTCGCCAACTGCGTGTCACCCACTTCCGCCCAGCACAGAGGTGATCTGCACTTGCGGCCATAGAGGGCTTCAAAAAGGAGCAGTCTTGATGCTAGTGTGATAACTGTTGTTATACGAGAATTTCAACTAACGGTAAGTGGATGTCCCATGCTTTACCGAAGTCTATTACGCAAGCTCGTAACATGTCTTCTAGGGTTTGGATAGTTCTCTCACTCTGTCCGTCAGTTTGTGGGTGATAGGCTGTACTCATATCTAGCCTAGTTCCCAAGGCTTTTTGCAGTGATTGCCAGAATCGTGATGTGAATCGGCTATCTCCGTCCGAGATAATAGATATTGGCACTCCGTGGAGTCGCACGATTGCATGGATATAAGTCCTTGTCAGTCTTTCCATCTTATCGGTCTCCTTGATTGGTAAGAAGTGGGCAGACTTGGTTAACCTGTCGACGGTTA